GTGATGCGATGAATGGATGTCTACTTCTTCTGGATGTTGGAGCGGTCGCCCCTACAGTGGGGGCAAAACCACTTGCCTTTGGGTTTGGTGTTGAGTGAGACACAGGAGAAGTGAAACCATTCAATCTTACAGTCAGTGTTATCGCAACAAATCATTTCGCCGAAGGAGACCTGTTCGCAGAGGCAGTACGTGGGCTCATCCGGGTCTATGGGCGCCCCCTCGTACAGGTTGGGCGGCGAGTTCACCCCCATTAGCAGACTGTTGTTACTGCTGTTGGAGTTAGTGATCGAGTTCTTGCTTCTCTTCATCTCTTTGTGCGATGACTTCATCCCTCTCTTGACGGCCCGTTTCGAGGGATTGTCGCCATTGTTGTCGTGATTAGAGCGCGAAGTGGTGTTACGTCTGGCGGACGCCCTCTTCCCCGAAGAGTTCGAGTTGTCGTTCGAGAGTCCGTTTGAGTTGCCGTTCGGCACCTCTTTGGCAGTCGACTCCTGGCATGTGTTCTGAACGGCAGCCGTCGTGTTGGCAACGGTTCCGCCACTCGTTGTGCTCTCCGTCCGCTGTGTCGACGAGTATCCGGAGGTCACCAAAGAGGACGTGCTCTGCAACTGAACCCTCGAGTTGTTGGTCTGATTGGACGACGAGTTGAATAAAGTGACGGAACGGTAATCAAAGTCCAATTGTCGGGCCTTTGAGTCCAACTGATCCAAAATGGATTGAATGAGAAGCAGCTTCTCGTCGGCGATCTCCTGGATCTCAATCAGACTTCTCTGCACTTTGAGTAAAGCGTTTCGTTTGCGTAACTCATTGGTCGACGGGTTGGACAGGAGGTCCAGTTGGCTCTTCAGCAGTTCCAGCAGTTGATGGTATCGGTGGTTATGTTCGTGCAGTTGAGTCATCTGTCGGGCGATATCGTTGGGCACGTTGTCCACCAAATCCATGTAGTCTTCGATGTATTGCGCGATTGAATGGATGGGCGACTCAGCCATCGATGAAGACATGAGCGAAGAGCCCGAAGACATCCACAACTTGGCGCTCATCTCAGCATCACTTGTGGGACACCACGAGACACACGAAAGGGTTGACCACTCGTGAGG